CCCAGTAGATGTTTAACGTTGCTAGGGAGATAAAGGCACAAAAGCCGCAGTCTTGGTTGAAGAACCAGTTTGAGATGTGTGCTGAGCAACAGGCCGATCGTTACAAATGCTAGCCACGGCGCTTGTTTCTGGCGGAAGAGTCCTCTGAGCACCCGAGCTCTGCAGACAGAGGCAGTCGTGCGGCCAGGACTTCCTGCGAGGATGCTTGCTAGGATGACGACCTCCTTGCGAGATCTGAACTCATTGCTTGTTGTGGAGCACATGGGGCTCGTCACCAAACTGCAGTCAGGACCGGTTCCTGCAGGACCGTGCTGTCCCCTGGCAGCGCCCCACCCACGGTCTTCGTTCTTTGATTGCTCCTCTGCGGCCCTGCCAGACAGTGGGCTCCACGGGATAAGAAGGGTCCCGATTTGTTTGCCTTTTCCCCCAGCAGCTGACTAGCACTTAGCTGATGCAGAGCACAGCAGGTGTCGACAGGGGTAAACAGATGGCTGGTGACCGAGCAAACGAACTTAATAGCATTAAACACCAGGTGAACATAAGGTGCTCTTCAAAACGCTTTCTGACCATCTGTTTTCCGAATTGCTGCTGGTATTCTGTGGAGCACCCGGTACAGTGTAGCTTCCTTCATTGTGTGGAAGACTCAGCCAAGACCTCACTGGTCCAAGAGTCAAGAATAAATTCTCAAGCTGTGATGAAATGGGAGTGATGGGAGCATGTTGTTTTGTTCCTTTTTTATTTTAAATGACCGATGGTGTTGAACTGGCCAGAGAAATTTGCTAGGCCCTCGGCTTTTAGCATTAGATTATAGAATATGAAATGCAAGTGTACATCGGACACAACGGGGAGGGCAAACGCCTGAGACAAAGACAGACGCCGCAGAGGACGAGGAAGAAGGGGAGATGCCCAGGAGGCTCTTCAGAGGGAAGCGCGGGTGAGGAGGCGCTCGTGTGACCACATGAAGAAGAGGGAAACTGTAGGTGGCATCAGAACCCCAAGGGGAGAGGGCTCTGCAGAGACCGGAAGGCAGTGAAACCGAGCTCTCCAGGCAGATAAGACCTCAGTCGAGCTGAGCATTTTCCAGCCGCTTCCGCTGCCAGCTCGCTGCGAGGTCAGGGTGCAGCTCGTTCCGGTGCACTGCACGTCCACTGAGTGCCCGGCAGCGCCAGGGCCAGCGAGGGCTGTTAGCGTTGGGCCCGGCCCCGACTTCTTCTTGGGGAGGGTCCAGCTTTGCATCATGGCAGCATTTCTCTTAGCACTCCATAATATCCTGGAGGAGATCCTGCCTCCTCAGGCACTGGCTGGTTTTCTTTTTGTCTTTTAGAAAAAATCCAGAATAAAAACTCCCAAAGAACTGGAAGACCCAGAATTGGCAAAACTGCTGCTGCTGTACTTGAGTGAACCCATGACTGCATTGTTTGTGCTCCTGTGCCAGTCTTTCTAACGCACAGGCCCTGGGCCACCGTCCCTGTGGTCTCTACCTGCCCTCCGCCTACCTGCACCAGTCCCGGGCAGGGTGGCCGTCCCCAGGGAGCCTTGGGAAGCGCAGGTTTCTGCTTCCTGATGTCTGCTCAGCCGTTGCGAGGGCCCCGCTCTACCTTAGAACTACTGTGATTTTTGGCAAAGCCACCTGACCACTGCGGGCCTCACTCTCCTCATCTATAAATGAGAGCATTGTGCCACAATCTTAAAGAAAAAAGTAATTTTTAAGCAGCAGAAAGTTTCGCACCTGAGTAAATGTTGTAAGTAGGAGTGGAGTCGTTGCTCCCAAAGGAAGGTCTAGGGCAGAGCTCTGTGCGCGCCTCCTATGCCCTTAAACCCTCCTCGGTGCCCTGTGCGATGCTTCCACGCGAGCCTGTGCATGCAAACAGTAGAGTCCGGTGAGTGAGTCCACCTCTCAGGCCCCTTCTATGTGCAAGCGCGCTGGGCTCGGGGACTCTGGACTTCTCCTGCTTCTCGCACAAGCTGCGTCCCGTGTGTGGTGGGCTCTGTCTGCCCACCGCTGAGATGGGCCAGCCGTGCCTTCAGGAGCACAGACTTTCATCAGTCAGGAAGAGTGCAGGCTTTTCTTTCCGTCTGTCTGTCTTTCTTTCTGTCTGTCTTTCTTTTCCTTTCTTCCTTTCTTCCTTCTTTCCTTCCTTCCTTCTTTCCTTCCTTCCTCCCTTCCTCCCTTCCTTTTTTCTTTCTTTCCTTCCAAATAACACTCCCACTGTTCGGGTTAAATACCAAAACCTTACGGCTCGCAGAACCAGTGCCAAAACGTCAATCATCAGGAAAACTGGAAAGATAATGGCCCCTGTTGATCAAGCCAGAAGAATTGCTTTGAGCTTTGCTGCTCTCCCACAGAGGGCGAGGAAGATGAAGGCTGAATTTTTCTAAAATGTACTTGGTTTGCTTAAATTGGATAAAGCCACATATAAACACTTGAGTTCCTAGAGGGCGGGTGACCAGTTCAGGAAAACCTCACAAAATGAAAAGATTGGCTTGGATTGGTGTAATATTGAAAAAGGGACGCATGGCAGCCTGCCTTTTACTGTAATAAAATTTTCAAAATATTTAGACACCCATCGTATTTGTGATCACACCTCATCCTTGGAAATGTGTCTTCTTCCAGCTTACTGGGAATAACGGGAGAAGAGCAGAACCCATCATTGGGATATTGGCGGGTCACGACTGGTGGCCCTGGCTCTTCTGTCGCTGAAGCTGAGATGCTCACTTAAACTTCAGCCTTTGAGGAAAAAATAGTTAGGCGTCACTTCTCGAGGGAGAATTATGAATGAGAAACTTTTCACATGAAATAGCCAGCTTTTCTCTAAAAATGTGTGGCCTCAGCATGTCACGCTTCTCAGGGAGGTTATTATTCATATTTTAAAATATTTCATGTTTTTGTTATCATTTAATCTGAGAAGCTGAACATGTGCCTGGTTATCTGAAGGAATGAATCTTGAAGCTGAGAACAAAATTCCTCAGAATCAGCACAATCAATTAATGAGCTTGGAAATTGAAATTATCTTCGCTGCTGCCCAGGAACTGAGTGGCAATTAGTGTCCGGGGACACCTGGGGAGCCCTGCTGCTGTGTGCTGTGCCAGGAATCTATTCATTTGTCGGTGGTCCTGCATTATATTCAATCAGCAGTTCGAATTCAGGCTGGAAAAGCCAAGTAACATAGAGTTAGCGCTCTATGAAGTCAACCCTGTAAAGTGAACCCATGTTCCTGGCGGTTTACCTGAGCAGCAGTTGGGTGAAACTATGAAACTGGTGAATGGAGACGCAGGTGGGGTCTGTCTTACCCCTCTGCACCCTTCACCACTCGGCTCAAATGCCACCCTGATGCCCCATCTGTCTCTCAGGTCCCCGAGTCTGGTGTCCCAGTGCACGGGGCTGCTTCACATAGGGAGGATGGAGTTGCTTGCAGGACCCCAAAATATTGGCCATTAGCTTGCCCCGGGACCAGGGTGTGGTAGAAGCTCTGCCTCAAGGTGTGTTTTTCTCTACTTGGGTCTGTCTTTCTTCTGGTTTGGTAGTCTGGACTTCGTGTTCTGCAAGATCCCCGCCGTCCCGCCTGCCCGACTTCAGCCCCCTTCCAAGAAGCTCTGCTCTCTGGCTCAGGATGAAGGAGAGCTGCACCGTCAGGGTGGGGAGGGCATCTGGCTTTTGCTTAATTTCTCTCCCACCTGCTCCTAGGACAGGGAAGCAGGCAAGCCAAAGAGCCTGCACAAGATAAACAGCCCCTTTGTCTCTGCTGTGGCTGGCAGGTAAACACACACTGGAAGTCACCTTTGGAAGGTCTCAGTGGGTAAACATCTTGTTCCTGGCCAAGCCCTGCTGGGGACAGGATGTGCGGCTTCTGTGGCCCCTCGGCAGTGCTCACATCCGTAAATAAGGAAATGTAGAAGCCTGCTTATCTTTGTGAACAGGTGAAGCTGGAGGTCAGCTGGGGGTAAGGTCTGAAAGCCCCAGTAAGCCTGGGAAGTGTGGGAGGTGTGCAGGCCTCGGAGTCCCAAGGGTTGGGATTTGCATTCCAATCCTGCCACTTACCCTCCAGCTCACACCTGCTTTTAGTGGCTACCTAGACAGAGCGCACCACTCTGGAGAGACCGCAGCAGAGGCCGGGCTCAATATGGAGCGTGTCTGGGCCACACTGAAGGGGGAGGAGGGGGCGCAGAATGCCAGGGGCTGGGTGGGCTGGGCCCCTAAGGTCCAGTGCAGCAGCGCTAATGTCCAGTACTATGGTGAGCATGTGTGTGTGTGTGTGCATGTGCCCACACATGCACACATGTGTGCTCATAGACATAACCTAAGGGAGGTTAGGATAACCCTATTAAAATAAGTTAGGATGATGTCATGGTTTAAATTTTCAAAAACAACAGAAACGTCATTTGACCACTACAGTCTATTGCTGAAAAGATTTTAAGGCTTCATAGTGTATTTAAGTCTTTCGGAGTATTGATTTGCATATTTGCTTTAATTTGTGGGGATTTTTGAAAATTACATTTTAAGGTTTGTGACCACACAGGACTGTGTGATCAGATACTTAGCTTTCTTCTGTCTGGACTTCAAGCACCCACGTCGAGGTGAATTTGTCTGTTCCGAGAGCTGCTACCCCTTTGCAAATAGTCGGTGAAGTCAGCACCAAAGGCACCGTTGTTCGTGTTTCCCATGGGGCATCTATTGGATGTGTTGGTCTTCTAATGAGAAAGTTTGTGCTTGATAATATCTGGTCCTATCTGTTGGTGTGTTCTTTCATTGCTGTAGTATTTAATTTTGATCTTCAAGCCAGAGTTTGAAAGTCAGGGTCCCCCCACCAGGCTGATGGTTTGTCTACTTGGAAGGCCTGTCGGACGTCTCCCCACTGCATCACTGGCTAGCAGGCCAGTTTAGTAAGCTGTGGGGCTGCAGGAGCCCTGTCTGGAGGTGTCCCCTGTGGAAATCTCCTGCAGTGCTCTAACAGCCTACAAGCTGCTGTACCTAATGTTGTCTTGTCTGTCTGTCTTTTCAGAAACCGAGCTGTCAGTCACTGCGGAGTTAGTGCCTACCTCATCATGGAACATTTCGAGTGATCTTGACAAAGGTACACAGCGGGGACGGCAGGGGAGGCCAGGAAGGAGGGGCGACACCCGGGGTGCGGTCCTGGGAGGGCCGTCTTTGCAGTGGACTGTGTTTCAGATCACTAAGAGGAAGTGGTGACCAAAATAAATCCCCAGCTTACTTTGGGATCATTTGACATTTAATTACTCAGAATTCTCTTGTTTCTGAAGAGGTTTTTTTCTTCCTTTCCCTTCTTCTAAAATGTTCCACATGGTAAAAATACTTCAAGATGTGAAATAGGGTTGTTCCCGATCTTCCTGGCTCTGCGTCTAGTGAGTCTTGTTTAGGGGATCTGGTCCAGCTCGAGCCAGGACTGGTCAGGGTCTGGTGACCTTCTGTGAGGAGCATTTGAGGTGCTTGCTGGGTTCCCATCAGAGCACCTGAGGCTCTGGAATTGCCTGTGCAGACAGAGGTTAGCAACCCATGCACGTGGGGTGCAGGATCCTGTTCGGAAGTTGTTGCTAAGTACTGGCCCCCTCTGCAGAGATCCCTTGTCCTCTAGTGGTCAGTGGCATGCTGCAAAACCTGCTTTTCCAGGCTTGATTCTTTGTAGTCCCCTCCGTGCCCCGTGTGTGTCTCTAGCCAGACTTCCTCTTTTCCATCCTGAGCTTCCAGTTTGGATTGTCCGTCCCTGTCGGGACACGTGCTCCACCTTCTGCAAGTCAGTGTAGTATTTCTCCTTGATGACTGGGCATAAGCATTATACGTTACAAACGTGAACTACAAATAATATAACCATCATAATGCAGATGGGGAGAGGGGATCTAGAGATGGAGGGAGGTGGATGGAGTGGGGAGGGGTCTAAAAAGGAAGCAAATTGTGTTATGTACATCCACCTATGCCCCCAAGATGAATGTAAGCTTCATGTATTGCCAGGATGTACTAATAAAATAAAACTTTTTAAAAGGCAGCATAAATTCTACGCATCCCATGGACTTACCCGCCCCTCAGCAGGAAGTGGCCTATCCTCTTTTGCAACTCCCAAACCCTTGTGTCTGTTCCTCCCTGGCGTGCTCGCTATTACGTGCTCTCCCTCTCTCTCAAGCCCGCAAGTTCCTTGTTGGTAGATTTTCCTCGGTTTTCTTTGCTTTTTTTTTTTGGTCTCGATCAGAAAATCTCACACAGACTCTTGTCCTTAATCCAGCTGTGTGGGACAACAGGTTACACCTGCCTGTACAAGGGGGTGTGGCCCCACCTGTGCTTTGGTCCAGGCACTTCTGTGGTCCACGGTAAAGGGCTCAAGGCCATTGTCACAGGTGCCTTGTGTGACCGGCCACCTTGTCTGCTCATAGATTCACGGGAGCTCAGTCCTGTCTGAGCAGAGATTCCCTTTATTCTATGAAACACCGGTGCACACAGTTCTTGTGCCGGTTTTGCTCAGTTATGCAGGGTGAAGGGAGATACCTTTTCACTGTAAGTCAGAGAACATTTGTCATAATTATTTCTGTTGTCAAATTTGATCTGAAAGTTCTTTTGCTAATGAAGGATTAACACAGGGATTTGTGTTATTCCTGTCCGTCTCAGGAACCAAGCAAAATGCCTGGGAGGCAGTAGATTTTCAGCAAGTATTTGTGGAATTTTGTCAATAGAGAAGAGGAAACAAGTAAGTTAACTGTTTGTTCTGTGTCAGGCCTTGTGTGAGGCACTGTCCATGTGTGAATTTATGGCACCAACAGGAAATTTTATCCCTCCAGTCAGAGTGTTATTGATCAGGCTCTGATTATGGATATGGAAGGTCATGGGTGTGCGTCACAAAGTCAGCAAAGCTGCCAGGCAAGAACTCAGCCTGCCGCACTTGGAATTGCTCTCCAGCCAGCGGGTTTAATTAGCAGTGGCTAATTAAAGGGAAGGAAGGGAAGGAAGCGGTGTCCACGGCAGTAAGTGGCTGGTGGAGGGCAGGATCAAGGCAGGTCCCACATGCCTTTCCTTTTCAGCGTGGTCCTTCAGAGAGCCTGGATGACTTCAGGGCCTCTTGGCTTCATTTGCCAGGAGATTATTGGAGTCTGGTCTTAATTCCTATTTAGGAGCAGACAAAGCTGCTTAATTTACTTATTCATGCACTGAGCCGATCCTTCTTGATTCCTCTGCTGATCCGAGTGCGGCTTGAAGAATTAGGATCTATAAATTCATCTTAAAAGCTTCCTGTCCCACATGAACTCGGACACTCATTGGAAAAGCTCCTATCCAAATGATGCTCAAAGCCTCCCAGTCACTTTGAGAGGCTGCGTTTTTGGGGAACGTTTCCCCAGTCACAGAAAGATGCTGGTGGAAATAACAACATGCACTGCTGGGCTGGCACACAGAAAGAGAGGCCTGGGGTTCTCGGAGTGAAGAACAAGCACAGCGCTCCGGCGGTGACTGGTGAGGAGGCACTTGCAGCTAAAGGTCCTGGGAAAATGTAACAAGTGTGATGCTCCCAAGGGACTGCAGTGCTGGCTGCCACAGAGCCAAGCAGTGAGGAGAGCCCAGGCTGAGTACGAAGTAAGGGAAACTGTGCTGAGACTGGGATGGAAGTCTGTCCCCTGTGCAGAACCCTGGGATCGCCCATGAGGAATCCAAGCTCCAACCTCTGCAGTACATAGGTGTGGGGTTGGTACCCTTGTAATGTGCCATGCCAGCTGCAAACCCAAAAGATAACACAAAAACTTGGTTAAACTCTGAGACCCCAACAGTGGTAAACCGGCTTATAAAAATGTCTCAACATTCCAGTGTGTGAGGGTCTGTTTCCTCCCAAAAGAGGAAATTTTAAAGAATCAAAACTGATAAAAATGGAAAAGTCCTGCGTATTTTAAGTTTACTTTTAAAATTTATAATGAATGAAGGAGTAAGGAAACACCATTAGCAAGAGTCAGCAGACAAAATGATGGAAGAGTTTGTCCTGTGGGGATGAAAGGCAGTAGGTCAGTTTGAGAGACTACCTATGTATAAAATGTTTATGGAGACAAACAAAACCTCTAGAATTGAAGAATGATATTGTGGAAATTAAAAATTCATCAGATGAGTTAAACAGTGGATGAACTCAGCTGAAGAGAGAAACGGTGAACAGAAAAACAGAGTGGGAGAGTAGGGTGGTTGAGAGAACTGATTCAAGGCTAAGGTAGGAATCCTCGCTCCACTGCTTGTTTCCTGTGTGACTTCTGGCATTTCCTGTTTGACTTCCGGCAAGCTACCGAACCAGTCTGTGCTTCATGCTTCTCATTTGTGAGGTGGGATAAAAAAGTACTACCTCGTCTGGTTGTGAAAATGCCCCTGGCCAGCGAGTGTGATAAGCTAGAGAAGAAGAAATGACATTGTTTGGGGTGAATATGGTCATTACCTTGGGCTCAGTAGTGAAAACTGTGGGTACTTAGGCAGTCTGGTCAGGCAGCCATGCTCCGGAGTTGGGGTGGGGACTGCACACCCTATTCAGTCATCCCGGGTGAGCAGCGTGCGCTCGGCCTCCCACACTCGGTGTCCCCACACAAGTCACATGTCAGCCGGGTAAGCAGAGTCCTCCACAGTCCAGCCCCTGCTCACTCCTCTCAGCTCTCCCCCGTTCTCGTTCTTTATACTCCATTTGTTTCAGCCACTTGTGTCTATTTCCCTGAACATACCGTTTCTTTCCGGTCTTCGTGCTGTGCCCGTGCCAGTTCTGCTGACTGCCTGAAGCTTTTTCCCTACTTAGTATCACTTTAGACAGTGACGCTAATCAACACACAAGGCCTTCCCACCTTGGTCAACAGGCTTGAGGGAGAAACAAACGTAAACAAATACTCTCATGGACTCCTCGGACCACAGTGCTGACACTGAGGTGCCATTTTGCTCCGCGTCGACCGTGATCTGGGTCCTTTCCACGTGCTGTGGGAGTTATCCCGACTATGCCACTTCTTTAAAGCCACGGTCTCTCTTATCCGTTGTTGTGTGTTTACTGCCTGACGCAATGCCTGGTACATGGCAGGCAACATGGCATTCAGTTGTTTCAGGTCAAAGCCAAGGTGTGCTGGTTTGTAGCAACTGTGTGTGACCGTCTGTCAGGTGTGAAGAACTTGCTAAGCAGGTCGTGTGCATGATTTGAGTGGACACCTCCCCGTGTGGTAGAACAATAACAATTGAGGCTCATGGATTTATAGGACTTGGTTGAAGGTCACAGTTATGACCGGCAGTGCCAAGATTCCCACCACAGCCTTCAGGCCAAGCCCAAGGATCCATGTGTGACACACAGCTAAGTGTGTTATCTCCCTTGCAGCTGTATAGAGAGGGCAGTGGTTCAGCCTCACTGAGTCAACTTGGTTGGCTTGGAGTTGCCTGAGGATTAGGAAAACACGCTTTTGACTACGTCTGGGTGGGTCATGGAGGTGTGACTGTGGGTGCTGCATGTGGTCCCTAGACCCCTCCTCTCTGACTCTCTTCTCTGCTGTGCTTCTCTGACACCACGAAGTGAGCATCTTTCGTCTGCCAGGCCCTTCCACTATGATGTTCCATGCTGGAGGCAGGTGCCCATGGACTGTATCTTGGGGAGCCATGAGCCAAATGAAAGCTGTCCTCCTTAGGTCGTGGGTGTTGGAGATTTTGTCCTGGTGCTGGGAAAGATGGCCAGTACAGAGAGGCGGTAAAAGAAGATCCATTGCTTGGTGAGCTTTAATGCCTTCCTCTTCACCCAGCCGCTCTGTTCTACCCCTTTACCCCGCCGCAGTCTCCAGCCTCCCTCAGGTCCTGGTTTTCTGTTCAGTCAGTGGCCTGAATAGTTGCCTGCTTGTCCTTCCCAACAGGAAATGAAATGTAAGAGACAAAGCCCCCTGGAAACAGCCCTCAAGGGCTACTCTTGATGGGTTACGGGGATAATTTCTGAAACAAACACTTCAGCAACAAGTACCACCTGGAATACCTTGATTATTGGGGGCCCAGCCTTGGCTTTACCTCGGGGTACTGGGGTGAGAGGGGCAGGAGCCTCTTTCCCTTCTCCCATGTTCAGCCACAGGAGGTCTTTACAGGAAGCCAAATGTT